AGGACAGACCCACAGAGGGGCACTTAGGGTCGCGCCACATGCCCATTTTGCGGAGACAGCTCTGGGGACAGACAAGCGGTGAGGCCTGGGCACCAATCCTGCTGGAAAGGGCAGCCCTGGATGCCGAGAGGCTGCAGGAGGAGGCGACTGCCTGATCTCTCTCTCTCTCTCTCTGAGGGAAGAGTGGGCACCCAGATGACTGGACTTCTTTCAGTCCAGGCCTAACATTGAATTCCTCTGCAGCTTCCACCCCTCAATGGCCCTCCTAAGCCTCCATTTCCCTCCCTGCCCCATTTTGGAAAAATTATGGCAAAGGGAGGAAACACTCACCTACGGCTGTCAAATAGTCCTCTCGAAGTCTCCCTGCAAAAGCACAGAGGCACGGACCCGAACACATCACACGGTCCTGTGGAGCAGCCATCCCTTTGCGCCCCACAAGACGGTCCCCTGCCTCCTCCCTCACACGCTCCAGGGGAGGAGGCCCCAACGCTCCCCACAGAACTGCCAGGATGGAGCTCTCACGGGGGGCCAAACAGTTTCCCAGGGGCAGCCCCAGAGAGGCAGCTGTTCCCCCTCGCGTAACACGGGGCCAGGCCCTGTGCTGCCTCCATGGACAGGCCAAGCAGCCAGGAAGGGGCTGCAGTGAAGGACAGGCCAAGGGACCCTTCCTGGCCACCAGCACCCTCACACCCAGGACTCCAGGAGCCATTCATGCTCCGCAGCTGCAGTGGGCACTGACTGCTGGGATCGTGGCCGCCCCACCCAAGGCACGGGGGACACTTTTAGCATCTCAGCCAGGAGGGGAGAAGTCCTCTCCTCATGAGCAGGTGGCCTCAGACACAGGGAGCACCACGTCACCCCTGTACACAGGAGGACCTTCCTGGGCATCGAAAACCATTGGAAAGCGACCTCCACATCTCTGGCCCCACCAAAGGAGCACCGAGAACTTCCAGATGGAAAGACAGCTAGAAAAGCCGTGAAAAGGAAGGGAGTGAGGTGCAGGGCCAGGGAGCCCAGGAAGGAAGGCAGGAAAGGGGGTGTTCGCTTCTGTGCAAGAGACAAGGCGAAGCTCCTCCCCACCTGGCCAGCAGCGGCCTGCCTGTTGGGGTCTCGTTAGGGCGAACAGCACAGAGGGTTGTCCCAGGAGGAGTCACTGGGCATCTTCGATCCAAGCGGTCCATTCAGAACGTCCACAAGGTGAACTCGGTGGCATCCTGACCCCGACCCAGACACGGACCCCCCGCCTCGAGCTCTGGGGCCAGGAGCAGCTGTCCCCACACCTGAAGGAGGGACCTGTGCTGCTTCGTGCCTGCAATTGCCATCCATTTCCTGGGAGGACTCCTATAAGTGTCTCCATCTTTGGGAAACAAGGACCCCCAGGCGATGTAATTCGGGCAGGACGCCTTTGCCTGCTGACTCGCTCAGCAAGGGCTGCCCTTGTGTCCTGCAGGAGATTGTCTAAGAACAGCAAACACCACAGAACCAACTTCCCCTCGGCCATATTCTGGGAGTTCAGCCCTCCTGGCCAGACCTCCCCTACAGCACCAAAGGCGGCCAAATGCTCAGACTCAGAGGGGGACGTGCAGCCCCTTCCCCATCCCCTCAGCCCCTCTTTCTGCTTGGCCGAGGAACGGACCCAGAGAGGGGCACTTGGAGTCACACTGCGTGCCCATTTTGAGTTGCAGCTCAGTTGACAGGCTAGCGGCCAGGCCTGGGCACCAATCCTGCTGGAAAGGGCAGCCCTGGATGCCGAGAAGCTGGAGGAGGAGGCGACTGCCTGTTTTTCCTCTCTCTCTCTCGGAGGGAAGAGTGGGCACCCAGATGACTGGACTTCTTTCTGTCCGGGCCTAACATTGAATTCCTCTCCAGCTTCCACCCCTCAATGGCCCTCCTAAGCCTCCATTTCCCTCCCTGCCCCATTTTGGAAAAATTATGAAAAAGGGAGGAAACACTCACTTACGGCTGTACCATAGTCATCTGCAAGTCTCCCTGCAAAAGCACAGACAGAGGCACGGACCCAAACAGATCACACGGTCCTGTGGAGCAGCCATCCCTTTGCGCCCCACAAGACGGTCCCCTGCCTCCTCCCTCACATGCTCCAGGGGAGGAGGCCCCAAAGCTCCCCACAGAACTGCCAGGATGAAGCTCTCACGGGGGGCCAAACCGTTTCCCGGGGCAGCCCCAGAGAGGCAGCTGTTCCCCCTCGCGTAACACGGGGCCAGGCCCCGTGCTGCCTCCACAGACAGGCCAAGCAGCCAGGAAGGGGCTGCAGTGAAGGACAGGCCAAGGGACCCTTCCTGGCCACCAGCCCCCCCATGCCCAGGACTCCAGGAGCCATTCATGCTCCGCAGCTGCAGTGGGCACTGACTGCTGGGATCGTGGCCCCCCCACCCAAGGAACAGGGGACACTTTTAGCATCTCAGCCAGGAGGGGAGAAGTCCTCTCCTCATGAGCAGGTGGCCTCAGACACGGGGAGCACCACGTCACCCCTGTACACGGGAGGACCTTCCCGGGCATCGAAAACCATTGGAAAGCGACCTCCACATCTCTGGCCCCACCAAAGGGGCACCGAGAACTTCCAGATGGAAAGACAGCTAGAAAAGCCATGGAAAGGGAGGGAGTGAGGGGCAGGGGCAGGGAGGCCAGGTAGGAAGGCAGGAAAGGGGGTGTTTGCTTCTGTGCAAGAGACGAGGCGAAGCTCCTCCCCACCTGGCCAGCAGCGGCCTGCCTGTTGGGGTCCCATTAGGGCGAACAGCACAAAAGGTTGTCCCAGGAAGAGTCCCTGGGCATCTTCGATTCAAACGGTCCATTCAGAACGTCCACAAGGTGAACTCGGCAGCATCCTGACCCCGACCCAGACCTGGACACGGACCCCCCGCCTCGAGCTCTTTCAGAGGGAAAAGGGTGCATCCAGATAACCGGACTGTCTTCCATCGAGACAAAAACCCAGAATTCTTGACCGGCTTCCCCCACCCCTCAGCGGACGGGCCTAGGCCTCCATTTCCCACCCTGGGGAGGCCTGCCCTGTGCTGGAGAAAATGCAGGGAAAGGAGGAAACACTCACTTTTGGCTGCCCGGCAGTCACCTTCAAGCTTCCCTGCAAAAGCACAGACAGAGGCACGGACCCGATCAGATCACACGGTCCCACGAAGCCATCCCACCCCCCACCCCCAGGACTCTGCTCTCCCTTCTCTCTCCCTCTCCAGGAAGGAAGGCCGAACGCTTCCCACAGAACTGCATTCATGGAGCTCCCACAGGGGGGCCAAACAGTTTCCCAGGGCACCCCCAGAAAGGCAGATGTTCCCCCTCGCGTGACATGGGGCCAGGCCCCGCGCTGCCTCCACGGACAGGCCAAGCAGCCAGGAAGGGGCTCAATCGGGGACAGGCCAAGGGACCCTTCCTGGCCACCAGCCCCTCCATGCCCAGGACTCCGGGAGCCAATTATGCTCCGCAGATGCAGTGGGCAAGACTGCGGGGAGGGCAGCCCCCCACCCAGGACTCTGGGGACCCTTTGAGCCTCCCAGCCAGGAGGGCGGCAGCTCTCTTCCCACAAGCAGGTGAACCAAGACACGGGAAACACCCTTTGGCCCCTGCACAGGCAAGGACCTTCCTGGGCACTGAATACCATTGGAAAGCGACCTCCACATCTCTGGCCCCACCAAAGGAGCACTGAGAACTGCCTGAGGGAGAAAACGCCTGAAAGAAAAGCCGCGGACAGGGAGGGAGGGAGGGAGGGTCAGGGGGGCACCGAGCTGGGGAAGGAGAGCAGGGAAGGGTCCTCTTGATTCTGTGTGTAAGAGGAGAAGCTTCCCCCCACAGAACACCAGCGGGGGGCCCTTGGTGCTGTTACGGGAAAGGGCCCGAAGCCTCATCACGGGAGGAGCCCGTCTTGGATGGGCATCTTGGACCCAGGCAGCCCATCCTGAGGACCCCCAAGGAACCTTCTCCCCGATCTCGAAGGGCAACGTGGAGACATCCTGGCCGGCCAGCCCCTCACCCTTCCTTGCACTGCCCTGCCGTACCTCCCTTGGGACCCCCCCTCTGGCTCAGGGTCCAGGAGCAGCCCCCCTTCTGCTCAAGCGGGGGCCCCTTTCTCTGCCCTCCTTCCTGGCTGGGGTCCTTGCTAGCTCTGCTTGATGGTGCAGCGGCCCGGCCTGCAGGCCAAGTCGCCTGGACGGGGCAGCCCAGGCCACTGGAATGCGCCAATGCTGAGGCGACCCTGGGCTCCCCCTCAGGGGGCCGGATCTCCAGCACCCAAAGCCCGGAATTCCTTCCCGACTCCCTACCAACCCTCACCAACTCCCCCCCCGTCCCCATTTCCTGGCCTAGGGAGGCCTGCCCTGTGTTGGCGTGAACATGTGGAGAGGGGCAATAGTCACTTTTTGGGGCTCTGAGGGGAAGTCCAAGCAAAAGCACAAGTGAGGCCCAACTCGAGTCAGAGATCCACCAGTCTCACCACCTGCAGCCACGAAGCCTCCAAGCTTCCTTCCCCCAGACGTTTCCCCCCTCCACACACCTCCCTCCGGAGAAGGGAAGCCAACGCTCCCTGCAGAACTGAGGTGGTGCAGGGACCTCAAACGGCGGCAGGCACCGTCTCCCAGCCCCAGAGCTCCCCACACAGCTGCAGGGGGGGAGCTCCCCTGGAGAGCCAGGCACATGCTCCCAGAGGTGGCCCTGCTGCCCCTAGAAAAAGGCAGAATCCGTTGAGACCCAAACAGGGACGTGCATCTCGGATCGAACTGGCCAACCCCAAAGGGACCGGAGGAACCCGCAGGAGTCAGTCAATTTGCCCAGCAGCGAGCATCTCCCTTGGCCCCGGATCAGACCTGCCCTATACTTCTGGGGCAGCCAAATGCTCGGACTCGGCCCTTCCACCCCGTAAACCTGCCTGTTCTCACTCCCCAGGCACCTGCTGGACATGGTTCCAGGGCCAGGGGGGGCTCTGCGGAAGCCCCTCCAGGGAGGACGGGCTCCCTGCCCGAGACCCACGGCTCTTCGGGTCATTTGCCTCCCTCTGGGCCTTCCCGGTGTTTTCCCATGAGCAGCAGCCTGCCGCTCGGAGGGGGCCCGTTATTCCGGCAGGGGCAGAGCAGGCCCAGGGGCACGATTCTCTCCTGCAGCGCTGCATTGAGGAGGGAGGTCGCCTGGGGAGGGGGCACAGCGGGCCGCCGTGTCTTCACCCCCTCCTGCCACGATCCTCTCCACCCCCCAACCCCACCTGCACCCCCAGTCCTTGCCCACCCCCACCTGCACCCCCTCTTGCCCCTCCCACCACCTCCATCCCCACACAGAGGACGCCTGCCCCGTGTTTGCAGAAAGACACAAGGAGGGAGACAACACGCACCTTTGGCTTCTTCGGAACTCTCTTGAAGGATCTCTGCAAAGGGACAAAGAGGCAGCGCTTCAAGTCAGGGGTCCTCCACCTCCCCCTGCAGCCCCAACGCCCCCTCCTCGCTCCCCACCACGCACTTCTCCAGCCACTCCCTCCCTTGCTCGAGGGACGGAGGCCCCAAAACTCCCCCACGGAGGCCGGGCACGTGCCCAGAGTTTCCGCCCCATGGACAGGGACCCACAGAATGGGGGCTCCTTTGACTCAGCCAGCCAAGAGGGGGGCTGTCTGGGCCAGGAGAGGGGCCTGCTTTATAACAAACTGGCCCTCCTTGCCCGCCCCCCCGTTTCCTGCCGAAGGGCGGCCAGCCTGGCGGTGGAGCTGGCATGCGACCAGGGAGGCGACACTCACCTCTTGCTTCTTCATAACCCTCTTGAAGACGCTCTGCAAGGAGACAAGCACAGGTACCGCCATCCGAAGCCCGACCACGGGTTCAGGGGCCCCACAAACCCGGGGCGTTTTCCCTGCGTGGGAGCAAACAAGCGAGCAGGGAGGCGACACTCACCTCTTACTTCTTCATAAAACTCTTGAAGACGCTCTGCAAAGAGACAAGCACAGGTACCGCCATCCGAGGCCCGACCACGGGTTCAGGGGCCCAACAAACCCGGGGCGTTTGCCCTGCGTGGGAGCAAACAAGCGAGCAGGGAGGCAACACTCACGTTTTGTGGCTCTGTAGCTGCCTTGAATTTTCTCTGCAAACACACAAACGCAGCACAGCTCCGCGTCAGAGGTCCCCCGGTCCCACACCCAGGCTCCCCGCAGACGCCTCTCCGGACGCCCCCCAGGGAAGGTGGCCCCAGCACTCTGCTCGCAAGGGCAGCGATGGGGCCCCCAGGGAGGCCAGAGCAGCTCCCCAGAGGCAGCAAAAGAGATGAGGATTCCCCTGATCCGACGCCAGCCCCGAATATAACGGCCCCCTTCGCTTGTGGGGCATCGAGAAGGGGCTGCAGCCGGGGGCAGGCCGGAGGGCAGGAGGAGAGCCATTGTGCCGTTCTGAGGCAGAGCCGGGGCTCCTGGCCAGAGACCGGAACAGCAGCCCTGGCGGCTGCGGGACCGGGCCCTCCACCAATTCCAGCCACATGGGCTGCTATGAGCACCACCTGGGGGCCCCGAGGGAAGGGCTGTAGCAGAACCGGCTCTTCTGTCCAGAAGCTGCCTCAGCAGCAAAGGGTCTTTGGCGCTGCTGGAGCCCCCTGCTCCCGCTGGCGCCTCTCTCTGGAATCACTGCCGGTTGCCTCGCTCCTGCCTCTGCTCCTGGGCCCTGCCCGGCTTCCCCTGCTCCAGCTTCCGCTCCAGTCCCAGGTTTCTGCTTCTCCTCAGCTTGTCCCTCTGGCTTCTGACTCCTGACTGGCATTGACTGCTCTGCTCCATTCGGATTGGCCTGCCTTGCACCTCCGTTGCCCACCTTGACCCCCGGACCGACGGACTACGATTTGGGATGGGCCTGCATGTTGTGCCAGTTGCCTGGGTCCTGTTGCCCTGACCTGACACCCCACCGCCCATGTTCCGGACGCTGGCAGCCGTCTCCTGCGATTGCCGGCTCTCTGCCCAAGAGCAGGAGCCGCTCAGACCTCCTCCATCAGGTGTGCTCACGCGCACATGAACGATACCCGTGCATGCAAGGATTTCCCCGAGGGCAGAGTGGTTTTTAGACAGCAGTTCTGCAAATGCTCTGACAGAGGTGGGCACACAAACACACCCGTTAGTCCTCCGAGGTGCGTGTTTCCTGCCACTGGGAGAGCGGGAGACACACACAAGCACACACACGCTCTTGGGGTCTCATGGTGTGTCTGGTGGATCTCGGCAGAGACGCAGCCGGGCCGGGGCCCCAGGACCCCTAGACGGGAAGAGCTCCCTTTGACTCACTGGCAGGCTGGGCGCTTCCCTCTCGGCTCTCTGGGCGGCTGCATCACTGGGCTGAGCCAGAGCCCCTCCTCTGCCTCCCTCCACCCCTCAGCGGATCCTCCCAGGGCCCCGTTTGCACCCGAGAGGGGCCTGCCCGGCCTTGGAGAGACCCAGCAAAAGGGGGACACACTCACCCGATGCTGGTCCGTAGGCACCTCGAAGCGCCTCTGCGGAAACACAAGCACGGCCACAGCTCCAGGTCAGGGACCGTCCCGTCTCATCCTCCGCAGCCACAAAACCGCCCCCTTGTTGCCCTCCAGACGTTTCTCCAGGCTCCCTGACAGGAGAACCTCCCCCAGCCCCAAAACGGGCCAGACCAATCCCAGGCGGCCACACTGCAACAACACGTCACACGAAAGGGGCCACGGCAGCTTCCACAGGGTGAAGCAGCCCAACCACTCCTCGCCACCAAAAATACCCCCTCATTTTACTTACTGAGGGATAACACAGCAACCACTATTCCCAGGAGCACTGCGAGGACCCCTATGGTGGGCCAGATAAGGCGGCCGAGGTTGTACGTTGGAAGGGACTCTGGGGAATAGCAAAGGAAACCAAGTTTTGAAAGTCTGCTTCATGCAATGAGTGACAGGATGAGGACCCGGCCAATCCTCAGAATTTGGAGAGGCAAAACAAATTGGGGGGGGGGGGGGAGACACAGACAAGCCCCCACCCTCCATCTCGGGTTCAGGGTTGCCTGGGTCCTTCCTGAGCTCTGGCGGGGAGGTGAGGGGTCCTCACTCAAAGGGGAAGTTGGAAGACCAAGATCACACATGCTGGGATTTGCTGGACGCATCTGCAAAGAATGCATCAAGCTTGTGCAGCCGTGGCACCTCAGCTCGGGCAGAGCGGGCCGTCAGCTTCGGCCTGCGGCACAGAGCTCCACCTGAGGGCCCACGAGGCAGGACTCGGTTGCCTCAGGTGGGTAAAGCAGTGTTGATACGCACATCAGTGAGCCGTCCCCAGATGACGCCAACCAGGGATCACGGGTGCAGCGCAGGGTTCTCACAGTTTGGCCCACATCTCCCTCAGGGGAAAATTCACCTCCCAGGATCCTCTTCTCCAAGGAAGGAGCCCCCCCCCCCCGGCCCACCTCTGCAGTCCCTCACCAGGCTCCTCCCAGGCTAGTTCCACCGGAGTCTGCAAGGCGTCATGCTCCACGCGACACAGGAAGCACTCCCTGTCCCAGGGGTCGAGTCTGACACTGAGCCAGGCATAGAAAGTCCCATCTGAGTTCGGGGCCAGGACCCCATGGGAGGCGTCCTGCAGCCAGACCTCCCCGTCCCTGGTCCAGGCCATGTCGATCTCTCGGGGGTAGAAGCCGTGGTCCCGGCAGATGAGGGTCTCCGTGTCGTCCTGGCCTGCCCTTCCGGCCACCGTCACTTTTGGGGGCTCTGCAGAAAGAGCATCCCTTGGATGAACGCAGAACCTCTCCAGCGCCTGGCAGGGGGGCGGCCTCTCCTGGGCACCAAGGAATCCCCCCAGAGGACATCTGGCCCACAACGAAAGCTTCAACAATTTGGACTTCCTGGACCCCCAAAGGTCCAAGGAAGGGGTTCCACCATCCACCGTTGGCAACTTGGTGAGCTTTGAAAATACCCACTAGCTTGGGGCGTGTATTGCAAAGTCTTAGAAATCGTCCTGCTTCAGATCAGTCCAAACTGAAGGCCACAGACTGAACCTGAAAGGAGACTAATTCTGGCAATTCCCCTCGAGGGGCGGATGCCCGATTTGCTCCTCCTCAGTTTTCTGGAGTCGTCTCCCACCACTTCCTTGCTTAGCCCCTTTTTTGTGCCTTATGAACTCTGACATGAGCTTTGGCAATCGAGGCAAATGCAAGACGTCCCCCTTCTCTCCTCCGATGCAGATCTGGCTGGAGGAGGGACAGTCAAAGGATCACCAAGAGGCCAAGCCAGACATTCAGGAAGTGGGAAAGCAGGAAAAAAGGGGTTTTTTGCTTTCTTCCATTACTTTTAGTTGTAAAGAAAAAGGTGGTGCTCCTGAAGGGGCATTCTGAACATGCTCAGAGGCACCCTGTTCTCCAACGGACCTTTAAAAATTTACTTCCATGGAAAAGGAAATGGTGTTTTCATGCATTTGGTGTGAAATCCTGATTATCAAGAATAGCCAGAGCAAAGCATGGCAGCCCTGCCCAACCTCAACACCAAACTGCGTGTCCTCTCCATCTGGGTGCTCCCACCCCTCCAGAAAAACCAGGCGCCTCCATTTGGGCCTCTCCTCCCGCCATCTGCAATCGTCCTCTCTCTCTCTGCCCCAGATGAGCAAGTTGTGGGGTGTGTGGCTGGAAAGGGAACCAGTGGGGGGGTGGGGGTGGGGTCACTGGAGCACAGCAGGTCAGGGCTGCCTGAACTGGTCCAGGCCAAAAAAGCCTCAGCAGGCAAATCCTTAGCTTGTGTCTCTCCAGTTAGTTCTCTAGCAGGGCAAAAGTGGGAGGTGGGAAGCTGCAGGCCCAGGCAGAGCAGGGACTCAGTTTCTCCGTGCTCACAAAGTAGGAAAATAGGAGGAGAAGGAACAATCAGCATCATCATCAGGAAAAAAGTAGAGGCAGGCGAGGATGAAAGCTGGGCTGATTCCTGGAATATACTTCTATTTGCTGGGGGTGGGGGAATATGAGGAATTCCTGCCCCAAAAGTTTGCATTTCCCCCTCGGTCTCACCTCTCCTTCCCAGTCCCTCCTCGCCATGATCCAGCCTGGCCTGGGACCACTCTGCGCAGGTCTTCTCCACGTAGGCCCGGAAGCGCTGGGTGATGCTGGGGTTTGCCTCCCAGCTCCTCTTCATTTTTTGGGCCATGGCATCAGCTGCCGTCCAGGTGAGGGTCTCCACCTCGAGGCTGAGGTAGGTGCTCCCGTCGTAGCCGAACCGCAAGTACCGCCCTCTTGGCCTATCCAGGCCCACCTCGCAGCCGGCCATCATCTGCCAGGTGTGCAATCCTGAAAGATGCCCCCAGGAGTCAGGGGGACATCAGAGCACAGCCCCCCCGCCCCTCCCACCCCCCCCTGTCCAGCCCCACCCGCCCCAGGCAAGCGCTCTTTCTGCGGCCTCGGAGAGCGTGTGGCTGTCCAAGCACATGGAGACCCTCATGCTTTGAGTGCGGAAGAGATGGGTAACCGCTGTGCCTCCTCATCCCCCCCTCCCGGGACCCTGACCAGCGCCTCGATCCTGAGCTGGTGCTCAGCTCTTGCCCGGGTCCGACGGCCACAGCTGCCTCCCTGTCCCGGGTAAGAGCCGGCTGCAGCTGAGCCTGGACTGCCGTACGTGGCTGGCCAGGCGGCCCTCCGCTCACCTGCGCTCTGGTTGTGGGTGGCCTGCACAGCCCTCAGCCCAGCTGTGAAGTCGGCCTCATCCCACTGCAGCATCTCCTCATACTTGCGCTGGTACTCAGGATGCACTTCCAGCAACTTCTCCATCCACTTGGCCTAATTCCAGACCTTCCCCGTGTCGCTGTCGTAGCGAGCGATGGGCAGGTCGCCCACATACGCCGCAGCCGTGAACTGGGGCAGCCCCAGGCCAGGCTCAGACACAGCCGTGTAGGTTGTGCGGAAGACGCTGCGGGGGGAGCCTGGGAGGGGAGAGAGCGGAGCCAGTGATGGGGACCCACAGCCTCAGGCGGCAGGGCCTCCACGGTCCACCCATCCTCCCGCAGCTCCCACAAGTGGAGAGAGAAGGGGATTGATTGGAGCAGGTCCCCCAAGGTTGCACCCTGGTGTGAAGAGCCCAAATTCTGCGGCGGTACAGAAATGAAAGTACAAATGCTAAGAGAAGAGAGGCTCAGAGGCAGACCGGGAAGGAGTGCTGGGAGCGGGAAAGCGGATGTGGGGACAGTGCAGGACGGGAGCAGAAGAAAGTCTTTGGAGAAAGAACGGGAGGGGGAGTTGGCAGAGGGGAGGAAGAGTGTGGGTGAAGGAGGGTTGAGGGAGCGGATCTTGACGCTGGGCGGGAGGGAGGGGGTGCAGGCAAGCCAGCCGCTTGGGCTCTGGAGGGCCTCTCTGACTGGGCACCCAAGAGCTGCCAGGCCACAGGGGAGCTTCATGTGTCATCCAGACCCCTCCATCAGCTTCTCGTTCTTCTTCTTGCAAATCCTTGAGACTTAACACGATTGCTTCCTGGTATTTATTTCTGCGTGCCAAGGAAATGCTTCATGGCGTTCAGATCTGCTTCTGGTGATCATGGCAGGGAGTCCGGCTCGTTCATCCTCTTCATCGCTTTTCCCTCCGTCCCCCCTTGAGTACTGTTCCTGTCGATTCTTTCCTGCCCCCCCCCCCCCCCCCCTCCCCCCTCCTCCTCCTCCTCCTCCTCCTCCTCCTCCTCCTCCTCCCCGCAATCCCAGGAAGGGCTTCGCAGCGGATGAGAACGGCGAGGGAGGGGCGCTGGGTTGAGTCCCGCTCCCGCCCGCGCTCCTCCGCCCGCCCGGCCACCCGAGCCTCGCCCGCCCCGGGACTCACCGGAGGCGCGGCCCGCCTGCAGGGGCAGCAGCAGCGGCAGCGGCGGCAGCAGCAGGAGTGGCCGCCGCGCCATCGCCAGCAACACGCACCCGCCGGGAGCCCCTCCGCGGGCCGGGTCGGCCGGGGCGAATACTCCCGGCGGGGAACCGGCGCTGCCCGCACGGCGGCCGCGGGGGCTGCCTGGACCCTCGGGACGAGAAGGGAGGACGAAAGTCGCTTTGCTCCCGCAATTCGCGCCCAGAGCCTCGCCCGAGGCCAGTCGCCCTGGGAGGTGCGTCCGGTCGAGGTGCGCCAGCTAAGGCGGCGGCCAAGAGCTTTCTCCTTCCGGCGACCGGCCCAGTTTTCCAACCTTCTCGGGAGACCTTCGGCATTGCAGGGACTCTGCGCATGCTCTTTCCCGTGTGTGCGCAGAGAGCACCCGCAGCAGCACGCGCAACTCTCCCGAAGACCCTCCCGGGGCATCTCGCCTCCTGTCCTCTAATCTGCCCTTGAGCTCTGCCTCCGGGGCGAGGAGGATCGGGGCTCCCGCAGGTGGGGCCCTTCCAGGCAGCGGGTGGATCTTGCTCTGTCTCCCCCGGGAAACTTCCCCACCCTGGGCTGAGGTAAAGCTGACAGTTTGTTAGTTTATTTTATTTGTATGCCACCCGACTAGCAAAAGGCTCTCTGGCCAGGCCACGTCGTGTGACTAAATAAACAAACAACCGTTACAACATGGCGCTATATAAAGCACACTTTGCCAATACATAAGCCTTGCCCACAGCTGCTTCAGGCCTGTGAGGAGAAAAAGGTGCGGCCTGGTGCCCACAAGGGGGGTCCCTGCCAGACCGCTCATTTATGGGCCCCGAGGGGGCTGATCCAGCTGCACTCTCGAAAATGGCCCTGATCCCAGATATGCAAAATTTCCCCTGCGAAAGCGCAGAGGCATGGATCCCATCATCCCCGCCACTGCCCACAAGACAAGGGAGACATTGAGTCACAGAGGGCCCCAGGGTCAAATGTGGGGGGGGGGCTGGGGAATAAGATAATGGGTGTTCTTGTGTTGCTTGTGTGTGTGTGTCCTCCTTGCCTTGACTGCTGGGATTTCAGGGGCTGAAGGTCCGGGGGCTTCTCAGGGGAGGGGGAATGGTGAGTCACCGCATTCCCTGGTTCAGAAGGTGCTCCAGGGGGCAGGAAGGGGGGGCGATTCACGCACCAGGCCTTGTCGCAAAAGATGAGCTCGGGCCAAGGCTGTCTGGACAGTGGGCTTGCCCTGATCTTTCTGCAGCTGGGGGGGGGGGCGCATGGCAGGGGAGGAGGGGCTGAAAAGCTCTGGACTTTGGGGGGCTCCTCGCCTCCTGCTGGATTCCAACCTGGCCGGAGGTGCATCTCCTAGACTAGCTCCAGAGCCCATCACTGTGGGGAGGCCTGAGTGGGGAATGGGGGGCAGGGCTGCTTTCTTGCTCCATCCCGGGAGCCCCACGGAGTCCAGGTGCCCAGGAGGGCGACACCAGGCAGCCTGCAAACTTTGGCCGGGCTGCTGCTCTTTTTGGCCATTCCCTCCTCTTTTCTGCCTCCCCACCCTCTGCCCCTTCCTCTTTACTTCAATTAATATTTATTTCAACCCAGTATGAATTTAAAAGCCAGATTTAACAAGCTACAATTCCTTACACAAAGTAACTTGCAAGACCTTTATGCAATTGACAGAATGCCCCAATATAAAAATAAACTAATTCAATGCCTTGTTGCACAGGGCAGTCTTAACCCTGGTCCCAAAAGGTATTAAAGCCAGCACCAGTTGGGCGTCAGCAAAGAGCCTGGTTTAGAGGCTGAACTGCTGTTTGTTCTCAGATGTTGCACCATCCCACTCAGGTGGCTGTCCAGTTTCTTTTGAACGTCTCCAGTGCGGGAGAGCCCCCCACCTCTCCGGGCAGCTGGTTCCACTGTCGCATTGCTCTGGCAGTGAGGAAGCTTTTCCTGATGGCCAGCCTGAATCTGGGTTGTCGCAACTTGAATTGAGTATTCTGTGTCCCACACTCTGGTATCAGCAAGAAGAGATCTTGACCTTCCTCTTTGTGACATCCTTTGAGGTACTTCTAGAGGGATATCCTGTCCCCCTCAGCCTTTTCTTCTCAAGGCTGAACATGCCCCATTCTCTCCGTCTCTCCTCACAGGGCAGTTTCCAAACCCTGGATCATTTTTGTCGCCCTCCTCTGGACCCTTTCTTGTTTTTCTGCCTCTTTCTTAAATCTTGCTGCCCAGAATTGGACACAGTATTCCAGGTGAGGTCTCACTAGTGAGGAGTATAGAGGAACTACTACTTCTCATGATTTAGAAGTAATACTCCTATTAGTGCATCCCAAAATAGCATTTGTCGATTTTGCCACTTCACCGCATTTTGGGCTCATACTTAGCCTAATATCCATAATTACTCTGAGATCTTTCTTTTTCAGTTCTGTTGAGCCACGTATTCCCCATCTTGTATCGATGCATCTGGTATCTTTTTCCGAGGTGGGGGACCTGGCACTTGTCCTTATTGAATCTCAATTTGTTGCTTTCAGCCCAGTGTTCAAGTTTATCAAGATCGCCCTGGATCTTCATTCTGTCTTCAAGAGCGTCTGCTATTCCACCCAGTTTTGTATCATTTGTGAATCTGATTATCTTTCCTTGTACTTCCTCATCTAAATCATTAATAAAGATGTTGAAGAGCACTGGGCCCAGGACTGAATGCTGCGGCACCCTGCTGGTTACCTCCATCAAATCTGAGGGTGTGCCATTGATGAGCACCCTTTGTGTCCGATTTAGAAGCCTATTCTGGATCCACCTAAGTTTTTCCTTCTAGTCCAGTTGTTGCTCATTTGCATATCGCCATGTGGCACTATGGCGAAAGCTTTGCTAAATGATCTAGGTAGATTATGTCCACAGCATTCCCTCTGTCCATTTGGGAGCTCACCCAGTCAAAAAATGAGATTAAATTAGTCTGACAGGATTTATTTTTGAAAAATCCATGTTGGCTTCTATTAATCACTGCATTTTCTTCAAGATTCTTGCAGATGGTTTTTTAAAAAATAATTTGCTCCAGAAAAATGAAAAATGTTCCCCTTCTACCAGGTGAACACACCAAGAGCAATGGATTCAGCAAAGACATTGTACTGACATTTAATTTATACCACTGACACAAAGGAGAAAGAATTTTTAAAACTTTCCTTGAGACATAAAACAAACATGAGTTCATACAGCACAAGAGCAGAACAACAGATTTTTAAAATTATTTGTTCCATTTACACTTACACTGGCTACAGTTCATTATACAGAAATTCTTAATGCATACACTGCTATCGACTTCAGTTCATTACATACAGTGTTACTGACTCGTTGCTTCATCACTCTGCTCCTCCCATTGAACTAGGTATTACTGCAATCATAAGCTATTAGAAATTGGAACCTGAGCTGGTGCAGTTGTGTTATCTGTACCAAAAAAAGCACAATTACATTACTTGTCTCTTTTCTTTTGTTCTTGCGACATCTCATATGCTAACTCACGTTTTTTGCAAGTGCTCCTTCCTGTACTATATTAACTTTCTCTCCTTATATTTAGACCTTTTGCATCTCCCCAACACTTGACTGTCAGTGTATTTGCCGCTATTAAAAGAAATCCAACTTCTCACATGTTTTATTTTGACCATCGATTTTTATCGAGTTGTGCCAACTCTGGTGTTTTGACTACTATTGTTTCCCTTATGGAAGGTGTTTCCTGAAAAATTTCCAGCTAGTGCCTTTGCTCAAATATGATAGAATGCCCAACTCCGTGATCAGAGACCCTACTCCGATTTCTGAGCTGGGAACTGCAGTTCCAGGCCCCTTCCCTGCCACTTGCTCTCCAAGCTTTTAAGCAGCCGCCAAAGGGCTGTTTTGGGGTAGTGAAGAGCCTTGGGCGGTGAGCATGCAGGGTATTCCAAGATCATGCCAGCCACCTTGGCTCCACCTCTGAAACCACACTGACAAACTGCCCAAAGTGTCTCTCTTGTAAAAAAGTGGAGCGGGGCATTGCCTTAGGTAACCACGAGGTTCAAAGTGCAGAGGAGCACATCCATTTCCTGGACCGTGCCCTTAATCTTAAATTCCACAAGTTCATGACTGCTGAGCCATGCCGTCTCCTGCTGTAACATGTCCCTCTCTAGGCATGCGTTTTTATCTAAATTTTCTCACGAGCCAACAAAACCATGAAACAAAGATATTTTAATCTACGGTACTTCTAACCATGGAACACTACTTCTACTGCATTTAACATTCATCAACACATCCTGACCCAGGGAGGAAGCGTCATTTCCTAACCAGCTATCGTACACTTGTGTTGGACTAAGACACCATCACCCCCAGCCCACACTATCCATAAACCTTCAGCAAAGCTGACTAGGGGAAATAATGGGAGTTGCAGTCTGACATGTCCAGAGATCACCAGAAAGGGAAAAAAATGACCCAGGGTAATATGTACATGTTATATCTCATTTCCTAGTTTTCTTAAGTTTATTGTTCATCTTATTCAACCCTGTTCATTTCAGTGCTACTTAGCTTTGATTTAGGGAATTGGTAACTTGGGACAACATTGAAAAAGGCTTATATGCTTCATCTGTGTCTGAGAGTTATGCTGTCTGTTCTGTACATGGTTTCCTCCTGGTATCCATTCTAATTTCTAATTTTATTAATTTAATTTTCAAGATTTATGGATCATTCTACAAGGTGAAACCTTGATGATAGCTCCCAACATGTTTAAAAACACTGGGTCATGTCCAACATCAGTCCTATGTAGAAGAGATGCTTCAAAATTAACGGTTCTTGTTGGATTAAAAGTGGATACAACCCATTGGGCTGGATCAAGTGCTAAGTGCATAAAAGGGGTGGATTTTGCATCAAGAGGGTTTGCCTGCTGCCAATTCCCCTACAAGTGTAACATCAATGATCGGGGGACTGTGCTGAATAGGATGAGGTGTGACCCAGGTGGCTCCCCAAAATCAGGAAGAAGCAACATCTGCTAATTGGGCAAAGATAATTGTGTATGAAGATTTCTGCTGTTGCTGAAGTTCTACGTGAATGCGGGAAAGTTCCTTCAGTGTGTGGACATGTTAATATTAGGTAAAATCCTGGCTCCTCTTTCCATACTCCATGCATCACAATGGTTTCTCCCCATGTGCTCTTTAACGGGAACTGAGGTCACTGCTCCCATGGAAGCTCATTCTACATTCCATACATTTACATAGTTTCTCTCTCGTGTGTGTTCTTTGACATATACTAGCGTAAGGCGCTGGCCCTGTCTTGTTTCACACTCTATGCACTTATAGGGTTGCTCCCCTGTGTAGTAACTTAGATGCGTTGTGAAGTGTTGACTCTGACTGAAGCTCTTTCCACACCCCACACAGATGTAGGATTCCTCCGTGTGGTTCCTCTGATGCCTGTGCAGGCTCCCATTACGACTGTAGCACTTCCCACACTCCGTACATTTATAGGGTTTTTCCCCCGTGTGGGTGGCTTGGTGTGTAGTTAGGATGGATTTCTGACCAAAGCTTTTCCCACATTCCAGACATTTATAGGGTTTCTCCCCCGTGTGGGTTCTCTGATGTCGTTTAAGGCTTCCACTGCGATTGAAGCTTATCCCGCACTGCATGCATTGATACGGCTTCTCTCCAGTGTGGGTTCGCAGATGTGCGGTAAGAGTTCCACTATCACTGAAGCTCTTCCCACACTCCGTGCATTTGTACGGCCTCTCCCCTGTGTGGATTACACTATGCCTACCAAAGTCTGATTTATATCTGCATATTTTCCCACAAACAGGACACTTTATCCCCTTCTTTCTTTGGTAATCTTCTTGCGGTGTTGTTAGCTGCTGGCTGTCATCGCTCTGCGAGGGAGAAGACTTCTTCTTCCCGTTCTTGGATTGGTTCCCCTTGACCTTCTTTGGCCTCCTTTGGTTTCCAAATTTCTCTTTTTCTACTTCATCCTTAGGGGTGTCCAATAAAACTTCAGAGGGCTTTGTCTCATTTTCATTGTCCTGCTCACCGCCTGCTTAGGAAAAACAAACAAAAGAAGTTGCTCTTAAGAACTCAAGGCAGAAACCAAGGAGGTCATCAGGGCAAAGCCCAATCAGCTGATTTATTCACACTTAAGACTCCCAAGATTCTTCCCTTTCTTCTTGTGTATTCCCTGGTGATCTGAAATCTTCATTATCATCTAGATGCAGTCCTGGACAATAACATGAGTTCTTTTCTGCGCTACTTCCCGCTTAACTTCACTAGGCAGGGATGTGTGTCTATATTTCCACCTCTAACACAACTGTGGCATTCATTTCCACAATTAACAAAGAGAAAGGAGGAAAAGTTAGAACTGCTGCACAGTTGCAGAAGGAGACCGAACAGGTGAGAGCGTGCTGCTCTGCGTTTCCTATTAATCTGGGCAGTCAGCACAGTAGAGTTGGATCCCCAGTGTTTTTGATCTGGGCATACTGCAGATGATACGCAGGCTGGTTTGCACAATCCCCACAGCCCAGCATGGGTTGTTTAAGCCGCAGTGGGCGGCAGTTACGCTGGTGGCTATTTTGGGCAGCGTTGCCACCATTTGCCGTATCATGAGAACAGGCACATTGGATCAGACCAAAGGTCCTTCCAATTTAGCATCCCGTTCACATAGTGGCCAACAACTCGTCCAACTTGTCGAGGATCCCTCAAGCAGGGTGGGCGCAGGCCCTCCTCCTGCCCAGCTCCTCAGCAACTGGCACAGGCAGGCAGGCCCCTCTGGGAAAGGAGGAGACACAGCCGGCAAGGCTAGTGGCCACTGATGGCCTCCTCCGCCTCCAGACTAGTAGCCACTGATGGCCTCCTCCACCTGCAGGAATGTGTCCAAACCTAAGCAGCCGTGGAGCCGGAGACATGCAGTCAGAGTACTGACTCTGCATCTGACTCCTAATAAATTAAATTAAAATTGTAATATAAATAATGTTAAAATTTCCTGTATCACAGATACTGATTTTTGGGGGTTTTCAGGATGTATTCAACTTCATATATTAGTGCAAGCGGCGGCCCATGAAAAAATCCACAATGCAGGAAGTGCTGACAAAGTTGGCTGTTTTTGAACACTTTTGTCGGGATCTGGGCCGCTCCAGGGCTCCCCCTGCTGGCCAAATGCCAGAATAACAGCTCTGATGGTGGCAGGATTACTCCCAGTCTCTGCTGCGACTGCCAGGGCCTTCATGAATGGCACTTGGGAGGCCTGGGAAAGAGCCGTTCAAGCCGTGGCTCTTCTGGGAGAACCTGCCTCAGCCACACTGGCTTCCAATGTGCTGAAGATCTCTGTGGCATCTGGATCCTGCCAGCGCCCGCTCCTGCTCCTGCTCCTAAGGTATCTCTTCCCTCATGCTATCTTCTTGTCTCCTGACCTCTGGCTTGTTTTGACTACGCTTGGCTAACTGCATCACGTTTTGCTTGCTTCCCTGTTTGCTCTGGATATTGACTTGGATTTGGCGGGTGACTGGACTTTGGTCCTACAGTTTACCAACTGTATTATCCTTGGACGTTGTAACTTCACTGTAACAACTTATGGGCCATATTATGTGAAACAATGTACAGTGGTACCTTGGCTGACGAACTTAATGCCTTCCAGGACTCTGGTCATGACCCAAATTGGTCATGAGCCAAGTCAAATTTCCCCATAAAGTTCAATGTAAATAAGGTTAATCCATTTTGTAACTATTTTTGTAAAATCACAAAAAGTTGAAGCAAAGTGACAAAGAACAACAAAGATCGTGGCCATCCCCGCCCCCCAGTGATCGTGGGGGAAGACGGGTGCGATCGTGGGCGTGCGGGGGGAGGCGGGCATGGGTGCGCTTGGGCAGGGAACACGGGTGCAATTGCGGCCATCTCCCCCCCTGCCAGCATGATCACGGCCATCTCCCCACTCGCAGGGAAAGCGGGCACGCTCACAATCATCACCCAATGCGGAGTGGCAAAATTCTTATGAAATTTCTGTTCACGACCCAATGGTCGTGAACTGAGGCATTCATGAGCCGAGGTACCACTGTATTATAGAAGATGATGATTGTAAAAAAAGCGTGTCTCAAAAATTAGTAGTTTTTGTGGTTCTGATAAAAATGCACCTGCAGGAGCATCACATTTATTTCCTTTCAAACAATATAGGAAATAAGTAGCACATTCCTATATTGATATATAAAAACAGGAGTCAGAGTCAAGGGTACCATAAACTGAGGAGCTGGGGTCAGAGTCGAAGGCTTTAGGTACCGAGTCCGCAGTCCTGGCAGCATGGCCTGCTGGAGGAGGAAACAGACTTGTACTAAACCTACAAGTGGCCATCAGTTATTGGAGGGTTGTTTCCCCCTCCAACAAGCCATCTTACCCGGATTCAGATGACACAACAGGCTGTGGTTTGAATACAGTTGCCCATGGATGTTGCGAGCCATTGAGGCTGAAGTAAGCCACACCGGGCTGAAGTTACTGCGCAAACCAGGTCACAGCGTTGTGGGTGCTTTCACAAAATGACTGCCACAAAACGATGCCCATTGTAGACATGGCCAATCACAAACTACCCATTTCCCAGAAGGCAAATTGGTAAGACTGAAAGAAAAGTGACTTGCCCAGGAACTGAACTACAAGGAAGAGGTGGAAAATGGATCCCGGTGCAGAAACCCTTTGAGCGCACACGCTTCTGCTCCACATCCATTTCCTCGTAGGTAAACTACCTACCTCGTAGGTAAACTCGTAGGTAAATTACCTCGTAGGTAAACTACAGCTGGCGAAGAGTGCAAAGCAGAAATCAGTGACTTGGCATTTGAGCCTCAGATCTGATTTGCCACCACAAAATGTGCATTTCACGGGAAGAAAAGTGGTGGTGCACAGAGAAATCCTGGTACAGGGAAAACAACCACCTATAGATGCATAAACCAAGCCTAACAGAGCACATGGAAGCAAGCAAAATGGATGCACAAGCCAAACGCCCTCCTGCTGCACGCAGCATATGCAAGACGCTCCCTTCACTCCCCACCGTCTCTTTCAACGCCACCTTTCAGCTTCTGTGCTTCCTTTTTTCTGGGTGGCTGGCCACACTTCATAACAAAACACCGGGCTGCAGTCACCCATTTTGATTTTCTAGAAATCCCACTGGGACCTAGGTAGGGACCAGGGCAACCTTCGAAATAAAGGTACCGCTGGAAATAGGCTTTTTGCTTGGACAAGCTAGACAAGTTTCTTTTTTATGGGTAGCGTAAAAAAAAATCAGGAAGAGCAGGACACCTGGGAGGCACCAATGGAGACATGCATGGGCACCGTATGAAAGATCCTGGGAATACCTGAATTATCTCCATTGTTCCATGAAATGGGACCAGGTAGTGGCAGGGAAGTGGATTTTGGCGAAACATTATGGAAAATTTTCCTTCTAGTATGTGCTGCTTCAGCAGAGGATGGGGCTGCCTCTGGAGCTGGGAGAACACCTGTTGGGTACCACTCTAATACCTATTAACTAAGATAGCGTGTCCTTACCCACTGAGGGCACACTGCCGTAATTTTCCAGCATAACTTCAGTGCACAGAGCTCTTCGGTCTGGATCCGGGAGATCCCACTTGCCGCTTGACAAAACACAGAGCCACCTCCTCAAAGCTCACCAGCTGCTACCAAAAGAAAACAAGATTCTCTGAATGGCCAGAGCGAAACTCCTTTGGCAGAGTCCTCTACAAGTTACACCAGATCGAAAGTGCTGGAACGGGACTTGGGGGAATCTGGGTTCCAGTTTCCACCTGGCCATGAAGCTCACTGGGCAATGTTGGGCTAGCGCAACCAACCCACAGGGCTTTTGTGATAATGAAAAGGAGAGGGAAAGGATTGTGTAAACCACTTTGGGTTTCTTGCATGAGCATACAAGGTGAGGTATGAATATAACAATAAATAAAAATAGATGAAGGGGAAGAAGGGGGAAAGCCAACTCAGACACCAGTTCTTAGTTACAGAATTCTTATAACCATCTAGAGTAGAAGCAAGAAAAGGACTGAAAGAGCGCTTATCTCTCTGCAAAGTTTTCTACTTTCTTAGAATATGATCTTATGCATATTTAGATTTTTTTTTATAAAAAAGGCCTACAAAACCCAGCATGCTGCAGTCAACATGGTGGTTTGAGCATGCTGGGAGTTGTAGGCCCTTGGGCTGCATTTTGCCCTTAGTCTCTGCTCTGTTGCTGCCCAGCCTGCATTCTCATCTGGTGGATAAACAGCAAAGCCATCCACAAGATCTTGATGTAATGCCAAGGTACTGTGGGTTAATTTTCCCACAGAGCTTCGTAGAGTGCACCAGCTGAATATGCAGATGGCCGCAGGGTGCCCGTCATGGAAACATGGTGCTATGCAGTATTTAAGACAGCAGACAACCCACAAATAACCCACAGCTTGTTTTAGGGTTATTTGAGGGTCCCCTGTCCCCTGAAACAACCCATGATGCTGGGTTCATGGGACAAGGCCAACCACAACAGACAATGGGGCCCGTGGGCACCAGGCACAATGCAGCCGCAGCCACCGCTCAGTTGAGCCACTGCAGGTTGTCTCATGCAAACCAGTTCCTTGAGTTTACATACCCAATGAGATTCCAGACAGACAGCTTTCACCCAAGAAATTATAGAATGATTTGAGAGAGAAACAAAAAAATCAAGCAAGAAAGGAAAACCACTCTCTGAATCACAAATTAATTTCATGAATACCCCCAGTATATACAACTACAGCCATGGAGACCTGAAAAGTGGGGGAAATGGATGTCTAACTTGGGAATGCACATTCACAGTTTATCTGGGGATTTTAGCACTTGGGAACGTTAGCAAGTTTTATTCAGTATTATACACACACAGAGACCCAATTGTCTGGCAAAATGAAAAAAAACACCCCTCTTTCTATTGTTGCTGTTCCTGTTATTATTTCTGTGTAGCGCAATGAAGTTCTCTAATACAGGCAGATTATAATTTACAGTTTCCTCATTTTTCCAAGGAGTTCAGGGTGGCAAGCATGGTTCTCCCTAACTGATCCTTACAACACCCCAGGAAGGTAGGCTGCACTGAAAAAGTAACTGGCCCAAAATTACCCAGTGAGCTTTGTAACTAAGTGAGAATTTGAACCTAGGGCTTTCCCACTTTGAAGCTTAACGCTCTCACCCAGCTTTCCCCAATCTGGTGCCCTCTGGATGTTTTGGCCTCACACTCTCATCAGCCCCATCACCATGGCCAATGTCAAGAAAGGCTGGGCATGGAAATCCAAGAGGTGGGGGAAGGCTGCGCATCTGGCCACTGAACTGCATATCCTCTCACATCGGTGCACCTTTCAGGGTTCTTGCAAAGGCTGCTCTGGTGCTGCACAATACAGTTTAGCAGTCCGTTCTGCAACTCGATTCTTAGGGGTGCCTTCCTTCATTTATGAGGGCTCCCTTCCGTCCCTCTCCTGCCACGGGGCGAGGCTGTTTCTCTGCAACAAGAGCTTAAATAAAACCCTTCATACGGTGCCCACCCAGCCACCCACGGGAAACCCACACGCAGGACACGAATGCGACACAGCCTCCCACCCAAGCATGCGAGCAGCGGCTGTGCAGAGGCCTGTTGCACTGATCCTGCAAGGAGCTTGCAGTCGTGAGGACTAGCTGCCATTAGTGGGTTGATCCTCCGTGAAACCTCCGCCAAAACACCCCCCGCCCTCAAACCCCGTGGGCTGATCTCCTAGGCGTGCCTCGGGCACAGCGACATCCACCAAAGATGCCGAGCGAGCAGGGTCGCCCCCCCCCCCCCCCCCCCAGCAGATCCTTCCTTCCCAACCCCGCGCCCTTACCCTGTCTCCTGCCCCCGTCAGCCGCCAGCCTCCCTCTCCGCCCAGCCCCCTCCGCAAACAGGAAAGGAGGCACAATCACTGTCCCCCACCATTTGCCGCTTCCTGCGTCTCTAGGAAAAAGAGCGTGGTGCTTTTACCCTTAGAATCCCAGAATAGCAGAGCTGGAAGGAGCCTGCAAGGCTACGGAGCCCAACTCCCTGCTCAGCGCAGGACTGCAAGTTAATGTGTCTCGACCGCCTCTCGCACACCACCAGCGCAGGAGAGCCCACCTCCTTCCCTTCCGGAAGTGCGGGCTGTATCCCCAAGCCCCACCACTGCCTGCCTCTCTAGGCATCACAGCTCAGTTCCCTTAACCCTTGGAGGAATGAATGTCAGAAGCGGCCCGCTGCTCACACGCCCATACAGGTGCTGGAGCAGACAAGGCTTCTCTGCCAGGCTCACGCAGCGGCCCGCTGCGCTCGGGTTCCTAGAGGGGCAGCGAGTGGTGAAGCTCGCGGGACGCGGAAGGCCCTGCCAGGGTTAAAGGAACTGCGTTCCACTTTCTAGTGGGGCAAACATGGAGGGAGAGGGAGCATTCGGAATGGTACGGCGCCGTGGTGCCTAGAGAGGCAGAAGGGGCGGAGCCTGGTGGTGCAGAACGCCCCTCTGGGAGGCTAAAGCAACGAGCTGCGTTTCCTAGAGGGGCGGGGAGGGCGCGGCCTGGCCCACTGTCGCGCCAGGTGAGAGACACCTGGAGCCGGAGCTCGGCCGAGGCAGCGGGGCCCTGCCGCGAGATGGCCGCGGAGCCGCCCGCTTCTCCGACCCCGGGAAATGGTCGCCTTAGCGGCTCTCCTCCGCGCCCCTCGTGCGCGCCTTCCCTGGCCGGGTCCTCGAAGGCTCGGCGGGTCTCTTCCTCCGCGGGGTCGGTGACCCAGCGCGCGGGAGGACCCGGTGTGCTCGCATTCAAAGGGAGGCCCCTTCACACGAGCCCGGCTTCTTGAGCGCGGCCGCGGATCTGGCCGCCGCGGTCACCATCGGTGCGCCCCTCCTGTGCAAGAGGCACCTTCGTCCTCCGAAGGCCCTCGCGGGACGCGGGTGAAGCGGCTGCTCTCTGCCCGGAGGGACCGGCCGCCAGGCAGACACGCAAGGCAGGAAGCGACGGACCCCGGTGGCCAACCTGCCCCCTCGTCTGCGCAGCCACACGGTCCCGGGCATTATAACGTTGCGGGCTGGGAGAGGCTATTGCTGATTGCAGTCAGCAGCATTGTGGTTTCATGTTTGCAAGCTTCTGTGTAACTACAGTACTTAAATGGCTAAAAATCACCTCTGTGGGAATATTTGCCATGGGCAGAGTGGAGGATATTCATAATAGGTCATGTTATTTAGAGAAAAGGAGGGAGAGATACTTATGTGCGTCCCTACTCAGTATTTAATGGGCTTTGCAAGCAGGGGTTGCAACTAGCCCAAAGTCACCCAGCTGGCTACATAGCTGAGTGGGGACCAGAGTTTGCCTGAGTACGTGTGCTTTTAACCACTGCACCACACTGGTTTCTTCTAAGTTATGTCCTTTCCCCTTATTTTACTCTATAGTGCAGTGGCCAAAATATCAGTTGGAGCCTTGTATGAACCCTCCTTGGCTCCCATTATGGGAGCATTTCAAACTAGACCTCCTAGTGACAGCTCACTCACTGAAAGTCCCATTACATTCAGTGTGACCTGCTTTCACACCCTGAGTTGTTGCTATGTTTCTTAGCACAGCAGCCTTTGATGCAGCAAGAGCAGCCCCTGGAACTGAGGCATCTTAATGGGAAAATGCCCAAGAGGACACCCCACTACGGACTACAGCGAGCAGTCCGGCATTTGCTGCCAAATAAAGACTTTTTTTTTTTTTTTTTTTTTTGCTAAATACTTGCTTTTAGAACGATGGTCTCTTATTCTTGTTTATTGTTTGAATCATAGAATTGTGCCACTGCAGGACACTAAATTACACCATCCCGTTCAGATGACTGCCCAGCCAATTTCTGAATGTCTCCAGCGAGGGAGAGCCCACAACCTCCCTAGGTAGGAGGTTCCATTGTCGTACTGCTTTGACAATCGGCAATTTCTTCCTGGTGTCCAGTCTGAATCTGCCTTCTTTTAACTTCAGTTCCTTTGTTCATATTATCCTCCTGTTTCATACCTTACATTAGTTGATTTTATGCTGCTTTATTCTTATTACAGTTATGTTGTTTCTGTTTTTTATGAGCCACTTGGAAAGCCCCAGGACTATGGGGTGACATACAAATTCAATAAATACAGGTATAAGTCCCTGCCTCTTTCATCCTCTCTGGGCAGCTCCAGAATTTCCTCATTCGCTAAGAAATCCACAGCCATCTGCTGGGGCAGCCTCAGAACCAGAAACATTCTTCAACATATGATGTCATGAACTAGTCCTTTCCCCCCTTCCCAAGGGTCCCAAAGACTCAAGACCGTCCTTTGAAATGCAGTTCTTTACTGTGATTCCACAATCTACAGAACAGTTTAAATAGTCTTTTTCCCTCCTTCATGGATCACTGCCTTGTCGTGGCGAAGGGGCTTGCATAGCTCAATGAAGCTATGAGCTATGCCGTGAAGGGCCACCCAAGATGGACAGGTCATAGCAGAGAGCTCTGACAAAACGTGATCCACTGGAGAAGGAAAGGGCAACCCACTCCAGTATCCTTGCCATGAAAACCCCATGGACAGTACCAAAAGGCAAAAAGATATGCCGCCGCCGGAAGATGAGCCCCTCAGGTTGGAAGGTGAACTCTGGGGGATGGTGGAGGACAGGAAGACCTGGAGGAATGTTGTCCATGGGGTCGCAATGGGTCGGACATGACTCCACGACTAACAACAACAACAACAGTCTTTTTCCAAAGCTGGAAGGAGAAGCTCATGTGAAGAGCTAAACTCTGTGGTCCCTCCCTTTCAGGAAGGCTGCAAGCTCCACACCCTTGGGGGGCTTTCGCCACTGGAGAACAGGGTGGCAAGAACGATGGAGCCCCTCTGGCTGAGCAGCTGGTCTCTCCGATGCCTCCTTGCTGGGTCAAGGACTGGGTCCCCCCGCTGCTCCTGGAGACCCTTCTGTTTCTTCCCAAACAGATGGACACTCACGCTCAGTGTGAGAAACTTCACTAGGCAGCCTTGGAGGTGCACCAGGGGGTACAGCCCCTTGCTCCTGCCCCTCCTCCTCCCCCACTTGAGAACCTGATGGTGATTCTCACTGCATGGCCTGCCACAGGCAAAGGACTGGCTGCTCACTGCAGCTGGCAGAAAAGGTGGGCACCTCCTCCCAAAAGGGCGCTGGCAGCACCTGGGGAGTTGCTTTGTTGCCTCTGTCACTCTCAGCTGCGAGGAAGAGGAGCTCTCACCACTGTTCTGGTTTCTTGGCCTCTTGCTGCCTCAGGAGGAAATCCTCTGGTAGAGAAACAGCTCTCAGAACCTTGATCCTTCACCCAGCTCTGCATCTCCGAGGGCAGGACAGCCAGAAACGGCTCCAAGATTAACAGATCCAGGATCTGCTCCTTACTGGCATCAGCCCCTGGTGGCACATCTCCTGGAACTGGCTGTAAACTCGCCAGCCCCCGAATGTCACGGTAGAGCAGAGAAGTCCACATGCTCTGCAGGCTGGTGGCATCTCTCTCGATCTCTTTCAGCTGCCTGAGGTCACCTCTGCCTGTAGGTTCTGGCCCCGAATGGACTTGCTGCGCTGCTTCAGGGGGACTCAGGCCTCACTTTCTTCTCTGGTCCACTGGCTGATGGCCACTGCCTCCTTGTAGGAAGGCACGTGAGAACAGCTGTGGGTTTCCCACTGCAGGGCGGGGGGTCTGCATTGTTTGGAGGGACTCTTGCCATTGGTTTCCCCATCACTGTGATGACAACTCCTCTGATGGTTCTTGTTTAATGTGTTGTGGCTCCAGCCAGCTCAGAGGCGAGTCTCCATCTGTGAGGCAGAAGTGATGTCCCCTGGAGCTTCCAGTCCAGTCTGGTTGCATCCCTGAACCGTCCCAGCTCTCCATTTTCAACGCGGGCTTCACACCATCCTCAAGTGCTGCCTGGCACTGGAGATTCGGGGTTGCCAGGAATTCTTCCCCTACAGCCATGTCCACTCACGAGATGATCCGAGTTTCAGTCAGGCCTCCAGCCACTTCTGCAAGTGCGATGAAACAATCCATCCAGTGGCTCCTCTGTGCATTCTCACAAAGCCCCTCACAATGACGAGGGAGGAGGGAATGCTACTTCTCAGAGGCCCTTCATCACAGCAGGTCTCTGGCCAAAGAGATCGTGTGCAAATTGGCATCTTTCCCCAACTGCTGCCCTGAAAGGAATAGAAAAAAATGCTGTGAGGGAATGGGCAGAATAGGGCGCTTCTGAGCAACAAAGCGGATTGCAGAGGTGGGTAGATCGTGGCCTTCCAGCTGCAGTGCTTCACCACTGACTTCTTCTAGTGGGGCTGATGGGAGTTGTAGGCAAAGACATCGGCAGGGCTACAAACTGAGCTTTGGCTATGGGCTAGTGTAGAAATAAAATTAATAGTAATAGCAGCCCTGATCCAAAGCCTAAGAAGAGCCCCGCTGGATGAGACCAGAGCCCCTGCAATCCAGCACGGAAAGCGACCGGCCTGATGTCTCTGGGAAGCCCAGGAGCCGCTCGCTCGTGGGGTCAGCCACAGACCCCTCCACCGCTCCTGCTTCCCAGCACAGCCTCCTTGCACGGACACGCCGTGCCGGCCAATCTGGGAGATACAGAGGCGCTAGCCATGCTTCCCGCACAGTTTGACTGGAGCCCCAGCAGGACGGCAGGGGAGCTCCCTCCCCTCCAGCCTTCACCCAGAATGCGGATGCCCAGCCAGTGGTGCATCCAGGTCCGCCGGCGGGGTCTTGCTGCTGGGCCTCATCGTTGCACGGGACCGCATTGAGCTGGTCTAAGGGTTAAGAGGCACGAGTGCGAATTCCTAGAGAGGCGGCTGGGAGCGGGGCGGAAGCGCCCACTCCTCTTGCCGCGGGGACGCAGCCGCCCCCCCCGCCCCGCGCCCGTCCCTGGAGTGGACCATCCCCGCCCCGGGATCGGGTGAGTGCGAGGGGGGCGCGACGCGGAGGGGCGAGGCTGGAGGGGCCCGATCTGGGGGAGAAGCCCGCTGGGGAGGGGACAAGAGCGGGGGCGAGGCTGGCGGATCCCCGCGACCCGCGGGGGCTGGGCTGGGCTGGGCGGATAGAGCCTCCGGGCGCCGCCCCAGGTGCTCCTTGCAGGAGCTCCCCCGACCGGGTGACCGCCAGAGGTATCAGACTGCAGCGCCCGCCCCCTCCAAAAGACTGCAACTCCCATCCCCTGCCAGGTGCATCAGACGTCAGTTCCCATCCTCCTGCAGACGTGTTGGACAATGACTCTATCCCTCTTCAGAAGCCTGGAAGTATGACTCGCATCCCCTTCCGCATGTAATGGACTGTGATGCCCATTCTCCTCCATGTGTGGCATACTACAACTCCCATTGCCCGCTAGATGGGTCAGGTTATCACTCCCCCTCCCACCCCCCCCTCTAGAAGGGTCAGGTTACCACTGCCAAACCTCTCCAAACCCACCTGCTCCAGGTGTGTCAAACTCCTTTCCCTGCACTAGGACTCCCATCGCTCTCCAGGTGCCTGACTACAGCTCCCATCCTCTCCACACGTGGTGCCCGGCTACACTTCCCAGCTCCACGATATCTTTCAAAGGAAAGAGTGGAGGAATGCTCATGCCCTTTTGGACCTGGGTTCAAAAACGCAGCTTTGCCATGTAGGAGAGGTTGCATGTGGGGGGGGGGTCGGGGGAGGCATCTGGGGGCAGAAGGAGGGTGGAGCTGGCGGAGTGGTTGTGTGGAGCGGAGGCAGGGTGAGGAGAGCGCATGTGTGGGGATAAGAACTGGGATGGATGGGTCATCCTTTCCCAGGTTGATGCCTGCCGGCTGCTTGGTGACCTCTGGATCCGGCTAGCACAGCGATTGTTCCAGAATGCTGGGAGCTGTAGTCCAAACACCTGAAGGGAACCTGGCTGGGGGAGGCTGGGAAATGGACTGTGGGTGGCTGTCAGCTGAAGTCTGTGCAGCATCGCCGGAGGATCGCCCCGTAGTCTTTGCCCCCAAAGTCTCTAATTGCCTTCACCTTGGCGTTTGTCTGTCTTGCTTACAGGGAGAGTCCCTCACCCCCAGCAGAAGCCATTTGGTTTCTCTTGCAAAGCATCTTTCCGCTTGGCGAGCCTAGTTGTTGCACCAGGGAAAGCTTTCGTTAGCACTGCAAGGTTTGTGGCCACCCAAAGTCCAGGTGCTTCGCAGAGATCCTTCCATCCTGCTGGACCACAGCCGAGAGATGCCAGAGGGACACGCAGCAGGGCCTCAGGCAGGAAGGCCCCTTCAGGCCGTCCTTGCTGGGAGTCCTGGGGAATTCTGGGAAAGGGCAGCGCAGACAGTGCTGGCGGAGGATGCCATCGGCTCCAATGAGCAACACCAGTGCTTCCGGCAGTTCCGCTACCAGGAGGCCAAGGGGCCCCGGGAAGTGTGCAGCCAGCTCTACAGTCTTTGCCACCGGTGGCTGAAGCCGGAGCAACACTCCAAGAGCCAGATGCTGGACCTGGTGATCCTGGAGCAGTTTCTGGCCATCCTGCCCCCGGAGATGGAGAGCTGGGTCAGAGAATGTGGAGCAGAGACCAGTGCCCAGGCGGTGGCCCTGGCCGAAGGCTTCCTCTTGAGCCAGGCAGAGGACAAGACCCAAGAAGAGCAGAGGAGTTTTGATGAGCTGAGGGTGTGTGATGTGGTACGTTCAAATAGTCAGACCACAATAGGTTGGATTATTGTAATGCGCTCTGTGTGGAGCTGTTCTTGAAGACGGTCCGGATACTTCAGTTGGTCCAGAACAGAGCGACCGGGCTTTTCACAGGGACTGGTATATATGCTCACATGACACTGGTTGCATATTGTCTGAACTGGCTTCCAACTGAAGCCCAGGCCCAATTAAAGCTGTTAATGAGGACCTATAAAGCCCTAAATGGTTTAGGGCCTGAGTATCTGAAGAAGCGTCTCCTTCTTTATACACCTGCCCATCCCCTAAAATCTGGGTCTGAGATGGTTGTTCAGGAGCCCTCCTTGAAAGAGATCAGGAGAGTGGCTTCCCGGAGAAGGGCCTTTTCAGTGGTGGCGCCCCAGCTGTGGAACCTGCTCCCGAGAGAGGTCCGCCTGGCACCACCCCTTGATTCATTTCGGCACCAGGCTAAAACCTGCATTTTCCTGCATTTTAGGATGTAATTGTGATTTTAATATTGGATTTTATTAGATTTATATTTTATTCCCAGGCTAAAACCTGCATTTTCCTGCATTTTAGTACATAATTGTGGTTTTAATATTGGATTTTATTAGTTTTATACTTTATTCCATGCTGCCACTTTGCTTTATATCGCCATCCTGAGACCTCTGTAAAGGATGGGATAAAAATGCTTAGAATATATAAGTAAATAACACTCCCACAAGTTGCTCAGCAACTCTAGAAATCGCCCAAGAAAGGTGTGTGGGGCCGGGCTCTGTTTCCCACACGCTCTCATGGCTGCTTTCTGGTGGTGGGAAGGTCCAAAGGCAAAAAGAAGCAGATCCAAAAAATACCGGCATATTTTAGCAGCATCATCTTCATTATTGCATTTATAGCCCGTGGTTTTAATTGCAAGGAACCCAAGGCAGCTTCCAGAGTTCACCTCCTCTCCAGCTTATCCTCACGATGACAGCCCTGTGTGGGAGGTTAGGCCAAGTCTGGGATAGGTCAGAGTCACCCAGAGAGCTCCATGGCTGAGCGGGGAATCAAACCCAGCCCAGCACTCTAACCACTATCCCACAGTGCCTTTCCATGTGGCTCTCAAAGTTTGTACTGCTGATAACTGGGAATGAAGGTAGGAATTCTGTGGGTTGAGGGAAGCGGAGTTGCCCTGAACCCAGGAACCTGCGCAAAGGCCGAGGAAGCACCCAGTGACTGGCGGTCGGGGGAAAGAGGTGGCAGCCATCTAGGAAAAGCGCCCCCTGCCCACTGACCAGGATGACTGGGGTGCATGTGCTCTGGAGCCCACAAACATTAGGGGTGCCACTGGCTGCTTACCTGTCAAGCCAGGGTGCCTTCTTCCCAGTAACAGGAGCTGAATTAATCTCTCTCCCTGGGGCAGATGCTGTCACTGAATCTGGACACTAATTTCTCCGAAGCAGAGGCGGCTTCATCAGATTCCAGGCAGAATTCACTTTTCCAGAGGATCAGGGAGGAATGTGGAAGAAATGCCAGCTTCTTGGGTAAGGATTGACTGGAACTATCTCAGTCTGGTCTCTTTTCTCTGCATGATCGTTACCATGATTAAATTACTTTTGCAGCATTGCTCTGGCTTGTGGTTGTAGTTGTGTTTTACTGCTGTCTAGGTCAGGTGTTGCATTGCCAATCTCTGTTGGGGTGGGAGGTAATGACTTTGCTGGTTTTTTAAAGGATAGGTTTTAGGCTCGCTTTTATTATTGCAGGCTGCACTGGCAGGGCTGCAAGATGGCTTGGGAGTCTTTTGCTGCAGTTGGATGCCATTTATTTATTTATTTATTTATTTATTTATTTATTAAAACATTTTTATGCCGCCCTATTCGCCGAAGCCTCGGGGCGGCTTACAACATTAAGTTAAAAAATAATTATAACATTAAATTAAAAATACAAACGTCATCACGTCATCTCCACTTTATGGCTGTCCTTATGAATGAGTGTCCTTCCAAATGTCCTGTTTTAATAAATGGAAATCTTGAAAAATATTAAAATCCTCCTCAAATGAATGAAAGAAAAAAAGACAGGCAGACAGACAGGCAGACAGACAACCTAAAGAGAGTCTCTCCCAAAAGACTTAAAACATGCAAAAATGGAGCACAGTTTTAAATGGCTAAAAACAATTAACAAAATCCTGGGATGCTGAGAGTCACAGGAGGTTTTTTTCACCTAAACACATTGGATTGTACCCGAAAGTGCGCTCGCTTCAGAATCTGCGTTACGCACAGTTCCCGGAATCTGTCTCATGTGCTATGTACATTTTAATTAAAAATTGACCTCAATTTCATAAGGAAGAGAGAATGCTAAGGGAGGAAGGGGGGGGAGGTAGACGACAACGAAGAAGAAGACGAAGATGAAGACAAAGAGCTTCTGATGATGATTAACCATGGGCCTGCTTCTGCAGATGCCAAATACTTCCAAACCTGAGAGGTTCTTCCAAATGAATGATGGGAACCAGCACTTTGAATTTTATGCAAGAGTCCATAAGAAGAGAGATGATTATTACACTTATTACATTGAGGAGGAGGAGGAGGAGGAGGAATTGTTGTCTGGCTTCCCTCATCTTTGTACCCTCATCCATATTCCATCAGACATAAGATGAACTGACTCCATAGAGGAGTCCACATGCTTGAGTTCACAAGTGCTGAGCGGATGGACATTAAGGAGGACTTCCGTTCATAGGATTGCCATAAGTCAGAGACGACTGGGCGGCCCATAATGACAACATCCACGTTCCAACTTCGTATTCAATTCGCGAGGTATCATCTTGCTCACGAATGACTCTTCCTGCTACCCACGAATTTCAGCAGAGATGGCCGTGCTTGGATCAGGCCCCTGGGATACCGGGGTGCATCTGCAGGAAACTGAAATGCAAACATTCATACGAAGGGTGCAGCACCTTCCCACCATCTGTGCTCTTTTTGCAGGCAGCAGAAAGTCTCCGGAGAGCCCGGCTTGGTTGCCTCTTCTGGGTGGTGCGGTGGAGCCGGCTTCTGTGCAGCCAGATCAGGTGGGCCACGGCCCCCGGCCTCCCAGCAGCCCTCCTGTCCCCTGCTCGTCTCCCTGGCCCGAAAGCAATGTCCTGCCTCCTTATGTATGAAATGTACATATCCAGACATAGGCTCTGGATGCGGCTGGGAATGAGTTGAATCTTGCTGTGCAGCGAGGAAGCAGAGCGGCATCCGGGCCATGGCCAGGATTGCCCCCATCACACCCTCCGCAGGGCAGATGTCATCTCTGGGTACCACGTCTTTGGTTGTCGCCTTGCCCAGCAGCTCCATCCCCTTCCCCTCCGGGCATTTGAGCCCTTCCCTGTGCCACCCGCCAACTCCCTGGCTTCGCATCGTGCCCAGGGCCTCTGTGGGGTGCCGGGCACCACATCAACTGATCGGTCCAGTGCAAGGAAAAACAACCACTCCTCTCAGCACCTGCCGAGTCCTTACAGGCCCCACAGTCCCGCTCTTAGCTCCGATTTGAGACTGGGGGAACCAGCAGGGATTCCCTCCCAGAAGAGCCCCAGGAGGCCCCGTGGGCCGGATCAGGGAGGCCAGCAGGCTGGATCAGGCCCTGGGCCAGAAATCCCGCACCCCTGCTTTGTGGAAGCACCCGGCCCTTTCCCTTAATGGCGGCCAAGCAGGGTTTTCACATTCTCCTTTCAGAGCCCAGTGACCTTCGAGGAGGTGGCAGTGTGCTTCACGGAGGAGGAGTGGGCACTGCTGGATCCGGGCCAGAGAGCCTTGCAGTGGGAAGTCATGGTGGAGAATTACGGGATTCTGACCTCCCTGGGTAAGGCTCCCTCTTTCAGGGGATTGGAGAAAAGCCCTCCCTTCCAAGGGAGAGATTCTTGGGATAGATTCGGGTGACTTTGGGCCCGTCGTGGGCTCTCAGCTGAACCTACTGCACAGGGCTTTTGTTCTGAGGATAAATGGAGGAGAAGCCCCCTTGGGTTCCTTGCAAGAGAAAATAAGGAGGAGACACATGCAAAGTAATACTGAGAAGTCGGCTGGTTACGGTCAGATTCGGTCATACACAAAGCATCTCTGTTTGTTAAGGCTGAAGAACATATTCGTGCAGTTGATCTGGATGTGAGTGCGGTTGACTTCGGGGCTGTTTTGTTCAGCTGATTCAGGCTCATGTTCTGCTATTACCTGATGTATCAGGTTAGGTTGCTTGTATTAGTCAAATGCAAAACAATGTTCCCGAGGAAGTTCGAATCTCAGTTTTGATGCTTATTGTTGAAGGCTGCCTTGCAGGTCCGTTCTTTGATTGAATGGAGCCATCCTGTGTCCCCCAGACCATGTCTGGAGGTCCTTTTAGGGTCCCTTGGAACTGCATGCCTCCTCCCCTGGCAAATGTCCAATGGGCATTTTTTGGGAATGGGCTCCCCTCCAGATAGGACCACAGAGGCCTACACACACTCCATGAGGCAGCCTAGGAGGACAGGGTGCCTCTTTGGCTGTAGGGATTTTCTGTGTGTCCATCGGAGCTGAGGGAGAAGGGAAGGAAAGCAGAGCCATTCCACCTGACCTGCTGGAAGAATGGCTTTTCCTCGTCTTTCCTCCCCGCTCCTCTTTCCTTGTATGCCATGCCTTTTTAGATTGTAAACCTGCAGGCAGTCTTTACAGTCTTGCTTAACTGATTCTACATAAGCCACTCCAGGAGTCTGTTTGATGGAAGAGCAACATTATTGTACAACAAACAAACAAACAAATGTAAAAGTCTGCACAACACTTTCTGACAAGCATGCTTCTCAAAAACGCTTTCCCACAGATGCCTGCTAGAAGGTCTCCATGGGACATGGTATCATGCGTCTGGCCCAGCATCCATCTCTGGGCATCCTTTTAATGCATAGAAGCAGGGCATGGGCGCCCCCCTTGCCAGTCAACAAGGGCTACTTCCTCCTTGATGAGATTTGCCTTCCATCTGGGTCTTGCCCACTTGGTTCTTTGGGTGGCTGAAAGAGAGGCCTCCTTGGTTGTGGCACCACATTTGTGTAATGCCCCAGGAGGCTCACCTGGCACATACATTGCAATGCTTTAGGTGCCAAGAAAATAGCTCACCTGTCCTGCATTTTGTGTTCTTTCAGCTCTTTGTGATCCACCAAAAGGATATTTGTTATTGGGTGGATTTAAAATACAACAAAACCAGTCAAGTAAACAATAATTAATTAGGTTTGTTGATTTGAGGCTCTGTTGCTTCCTAAGATCTGTACAGGTTTTAGATACAGAGTAAGGTACAAACCCTATAAATTAATGCATATTATGTTCCTTTTATTCCAGCAGGGGATGGATGGAACTACAAGAATGAGGAAGAACCATGCAGAGAATCTTTGGAAAGAGCCAAATGGACAGAGGTGGGACAGCAAGGAAGGGAAACCAAGCTGAAAAAGAAGGAGGAGCAAAGCAGTGACTTTCACAATGCAGCAGTCCAAGGAAAGGTGGACAATGAAAAGAGAAGGAGCATCTGCAACGTCTGTGGGAAAAGTTTTAGCCGTAAATCTCACCTTAACGAACATAAAAGAATCCACACAGGGGAGAAGCCGTACAGCTGCTCCGAATGCGGAAAGAGCTTCAGGCGGAGCACAGACCTCACCTCACATCAGAGAACCCACACGGAAGAGCAGCCGTTTAAATGCTCTGAATGTGGAAAGAGTTTCAGGGGCAGTTCCGACCTGAGGTCCCATAAGCGCATCCACACTGGGGAGAAGCCGTACGCCTGTTCCTTGTGCGGGAAGAGCTTCAGCCACAGCATCAGCCTCAGTTCCCACCAAAGAATCCACACGGGGGAGCAGCCCTTTAAATGCACCGTGTGTGGGAAGAGCTTCACGCGGAACACAGGCCTGACGTTGCATCAGCGCATCCACACGGGAGAGAAGCCCTACACGTGCGCCTTGTGCGGGAAGAGCTTCAGCCACAGCAAAAGCCATGCCATCCACCTCAAAGTGCACGCTGGGGAGAAGCCATACACTTGCCCGGAGTGTGGGAAAAGCTTCATAGGGAGTTCATACCTTAAGTCACACCAGAGAATACACACAGGGGAGAAACCATACATGTGTGCCGTGTGTGGGAAGCGATTCAGGTGGAGCACAAACTTTAACGAACATAAAAAAATTCACATGGGGGAGAATGCTGGCAATCCCAGAAATGGCTGCATGGTAGAAAGAACTCACAGCGAAGCACAGAAGTTTATTTCCGAGGATTCACTCCCAGGAGAAAGCATATATATATAGACTAGATTTTTTCCGTCCTATCCAGTGATCTTCCTCTTCGTATTTATTTCATTTCCATTCTGCCCTATAGCTGAAGCTCTCTGGGTGGTGATACTAACCAACAGAGAATGAACAGATGGGAAGGGGCATATAAAGGCTCAAAATGTAGCAGAAAACTTCATGTGTGAAGTATTTTAGAATTCTGAGAATGATGTATGAGCAGGGGGAGAGGAGGTAGCTCTGGAAGACTTCGGATTGCAAGATGTCCTAGTTGTCTTGGCATTCGGCTCTCCACCTATTTGCAAGAACGTTTTACCAAAATCTTGCTGTTGGATTGTTTCATCGTTCTCTATAATAGCAAATGTGGCTGGTTGAGTGCCACAGTTTAGAAGCAAAACGAGGCCATCGAAAAATAATACCGGGAGTGGTTGATGCATACCTGAGATAATCACTGTGTTTTTCCAGGGTGGGAGGCAAAATGTTAAAATTGGAACATGTTGCATATTTCAGAAGGTGGAGGCTTTTACTTGGATTTTAATGCATTGCTAGGTATGCTGTGCTTCAGTAACTGCTGAGGGAGGGTATCTTTACCCATGTGTGTGCACAGATGGGATGCAAACCTCCCACAGTGGCAGGAGGGTGGGGCAGGGGCTCACCCCACTGCAAAGAGCCCCTTGGAGCGGCTCCTAGTCTTCTCCGTGGCTCCCGGCTTGTTCACCCTGAGCATCCATCCCTTTGCCCTGCAGCTGTTCTGTGCCCTACAGGAGTTTCGCCCCGTCTGAGTCGCTGGCCGCTGTGCTGGACAGGCAGGGAGGTGGGTGCCGTTCCGTGTTGCTTGGGGGTCTTGAGGGTCACATGCAGGCAGCTGCCTCGGGCTGGGAAAAGGCGGGCCTGGCTGGGCCGCTGACGGGGGCCCTGGAGTTGCTGCTCTCCTTCCCCTTGCAGCCTGATGGTTTGGCAGCCTCTCGCTCTGGTCCAGACCACGGGGCCAATGAGGAAGCAGAGCGGAGGGTGCCCTGGCGTCCTGCCCTTGCTCTCTGCCACTCGGCTTCCAAGCCTCCAAACATCAGCCATGGTGAGAAAGAGGAGGAGGCGCAGGGGCTGCTGAGGGCAGTGGCGGAGAGAGGCTACGCTCGGTAAGGGAGGGGCCCCCGCCCACGGCCCTCCAGAACCCGGAGCTGGCACTGCTGCTCTGTGTCGGTGAGTGCAGGTTTGTTCGTAGGGCCTGGTCATGCTCGCTGGACTGGATGGTGTAAACTTCCTCCTCCTCCTCAAGCTGGGCCAGGGGAGGTGTTTTTACTTATACATGCTTCAGGTACCTGAAGAACCTGGAAAGCCCACCTTTCCCTCTTACCTGTATTGGCCATTTTCTGCCTTTCTTCAGGGTTAGTCCCATGATTATGGGGGTGCGCCAGTAAAGTCTTCTCACGTAAGTTGTCCTGCTTTTGTCGTCCATTGATAACTTGAAGCCACACAAGGGTACAATTTTTATTTTTATCTCAGATGGATCAGTTAAGCATTAAACCAGACCAATTCTGACGCTTGCTATTTTATTTTCATTCCTTCTTCATAGAAACAAGTTTGACCTGTAGCAAAGGTGTCATGTGGAGTGTTCTTGCTCACCGTGACAGCCAGCCAGTCCTTTCCCCACTGTGTTCTGCTTCATTCCCTCTTTTGTCTGGGTTTGCTGGTTTCTACTCTGGCTCCTGTGCGTGAGATCCCTCCCCACAATTTAGGTATAAACAAGCCTTCAATCCCCCCTCCCCAAAGACCAAAGAGGGGATCATGTGTAGCTTCCAGGAAAAAAGATTCCAAAAACACAGGGCCAGCACAGAAAAGACTGTGCTTTCCTTACTATTCAACCAGTCTCAGCCCAGAGGCAGATTTTAAAACTCAGACAAATTTTGGGGTACTTCAGATAATCTGGTCCCAAGACCCAGAAAACAAAACTAGCACCTAGATTAGATCTAGGAAAAAATAGGCAGTGTATGTAACAGTTGTGGCCTAGGCCTACAGTGCATTTAGTCAGACGCAACCCTCATTGAACTCTATGGGTCTAACGCTCAGGTTAGTGTCCATATAAACAGTAGAAGCAGAAACGCCAGGTGAGAAAAGGCCATCCGGATGGTTCCAAGGGGTGGGGAGAGTGGAAAGCCCCAAATCATCACTGCTTTGGGGCAGTCCTTTAAGGAGGGGAGGTGCAAACCTTCCTGCCTTGTTGCCTTCACCATTTTTTTTCCCCGATATCAGGGCTTCACAGAGGAAGCACTGCCTGATCTCCCGAAGGCAGAAAAAGTGGCATCAGCCGTGAAACAGAGGCTGTTCTTTGAAAGGATCATCCAGGGAAACCGCAGCTTGCCAGGCAAGGATAAAAAGGGCATCGTCTATGGATTTGTCAACTTTATCTCTACCTTTTCCCACAAGCAATCCAGGGCAGCTTCCATAATCCAGTTCCTTTCATCTTCACAGCAGCCTGTGAGTTAGGTGACTGAGAATCAGTGGCTGGCCCAAAGTCGCCAGTGGAGAACAGAACTTGGATTTCCCCAGTTCCACACCAACACTGGCCACTACGCCTCAAGTGTGGGTTGTTGCCAAACCATGGGTTGTGGCTGAAGCGGGTTGTAGTGTTGTCAGGACACAGCCAAGAAAACAAACCTGGCTTGTTAACTATGAACAACCCATGAAGAAAACCCATAATTCACTTTTGGGTTCAGAACTGTGGGTTCTTCACCCTGGTTTGTTGTCTTAGCTGGGTTCATCAGTAAATATATGTTTTAATAGAAAAATTGAGACTATTTTATATTAGGTTGGAAAAAGCCAAATTAAAGGACTATATCATTAGGGAAACTTTAAGTGGAATGATTTTGGTTATGTTTATAAGGGTTGTTTGTTTGTTAATCTTTGCCTTTATGAATCAATGTAAAATGAATTTTTGTTTATCTACTGGGAGTTTCTTTTGTACGAGCAATCAAATAAAAATGCAGTTATTTAAAAGAATTACACAATAAAGCAGAGCAACCTTTCTAAATCTGAAACAATTACAAAGTATTACATGATTTCAATAATCACCCACATCACAAGAATCTCACATTAAGAAACAAAGGCCAGGAATAAACAATCTACTCATAATTAGGCTAAGGTTAAGCAAAGGACAAATTCAGGAATAATGGCCATTTTTCCTGCTCTATTTTATCCTCAGATTCAGCGGACTGGGACATGGTTCTTTTCTTCGTTTTTCTGGATTGTCTCCTCCAACTCAGTGTTCGTGTGCTTAATTTACTGGAGCAACCTGCGTGTTACATCTTTTCCTTGTGTCCTTACCTGACAGCAGCCTGTTCCTAATTTAAGTTGTGCTAATAAATCCTTGAAAGGTAATTGTGACCTCCACCTTCATCAGCATTAGCCAAATTAGCCACTTGGGACCACATTGTGGACTAGGATAATGTGTATCAGTTTTGAATCTGCTTCAGTCCGTTCACGTAAGAAGTTGCGGGGGTGACAGGGCTCCTTTTCAGTGTGAGAGCCGAATGAATTCCATTTCTGGGGTCACATCCCAGCAGTGGGTGGAGCTGAAGGCTAAAAGGGGCTTGGCTTGAAATACCACAATATTTGAGGCAGGTGGAGTTGAAGAGGGACATTGAGGCAATTTGAAACAACACAAAAGGAGGAAACTACCAAACAATTGGTGATCAGGAGGAAGAGCATGTGGCCAGTTGGAAAACCCCAGGAAGGCTGGATCTGGTACTGGTCAGGCCAGTATTAGCCCCCTAATATATTAATATTACACCTCCCTAGGGCTGGTGGAGCAATTACGTTTATTATAAAGCACAGGTCCACCTGTTCTGAAGAATCTACATACAAATAACGCATAACATAACAAGACAGCATGGAACACATAATTAAGCAGTTTAATAAGCCACAGTGTAATAAGCCACGGTGAGCTGTAGTGAGCGTGCAAATCACGGATCAATACAATCCATATGACAGGTAACCTTAGAAAGGAACCCAAGCCACACGCTACAGCCAGGTCTGCATTTTAGGAGCACGGCGCTGGGTTGGTAGATGACTTGCTGCAGCTCTAAAAGTAGCTAGTGATTTCCTTGCCTGAACCGATGCTGGTCAATGGCGAAAGAAAATGTCACCTGTACCGAATGCCTCAGATCTGGAGTGCAAAACTTCTGGGTGCGGGGGCCACGTTCCCCTCCATTCCAAAACCTACAATTAAAAAGTCCCAAAATTTTGAGCGAAGGTCTTGTATTAAAAAAACAGGGGCAATGAGGCTGTGACAGCCCCTCCAACGCGCCTCTTGGGCACTCTGAGGCGGCTGTGGCTACCGGGCAACTTGGAGAGCTCGAGAAGCGACTTCTGCGGAAAGGGACGCGGGGAGCGCCGCGGCGAGTGCAGAAGGGGCTCGGGCTTCTGGCCACGGAATCCCCTGGGGAGTCCCTTGGGATGCCCGCCGGAGAAACGAGAGGAAGACGCGCAACCCACGCTTGGCCCAGCCCTCCATCGGGCGCAGGGAGGCTCGCGGCGCGGCCACGCTCCCTGCGAGGCGCATCCCGCGGGCGGCGCGTCCCGACGTGCGAATGCGCCCCCTCCTCTCGCAGCGCACGGTGACAGGGGCGGCGCGGCCCGCTGGCTTGCAGGGCAGATTCCGCCTAAGGGTTAATACGAGGGAGTCGGGGCGGCCAGAGAGGCCTCCGGAGGAGCGCTTCGTGAAGGGGGCCGGGCCCCGCCCCTCCCCGCGTGGAGAAAGCGGCCTCCTCTCCCGGGGATTCCAGGGTCCGCGCAGCGATCCGGTGGGTGCAAAGCGCGCGCAGGGCGGGGCAATGGGGCGAGGGGCTTGGAAGTGCCCCAGAGGTGGCGGCCA